TAAGAGCGTCAGCAAGTTGATCTGCTGAGGAGGCATGAGTAACATGAAGAGCGCCTGATTGAACTTGATCGCGAATAAAGTGATAGTCAATTGCCACATGTTTCATACATGAATGAAAGACTGGATTAGAACAAAGATAGGTGGCACCAACATTGTCACAAAAGATAACAAGAGGTGTAGAGAGAGTGACGCCAAGCTCTGTTAGAAGGGAACAAATCCAATTGATTTCTAAAGCAGTAGCGGCAACTAATCGATATTCAGCTTCTGTGGATGACCGAGCAACTGTACACTGTTTCTTGGATGACCAAGAAATATGGTGACAACTAAGATAGACAATATAGGCACTCGTAGAGGTATAATCGTCTTTGTTGCCAGCCCAATCTGCATCTGAGAAGGCATGAAGAGAAAGTGGATTTTCTTTATGAAGAAATAATCCATGAGTCAGTGTGCCACACAGATATCGAAGCAGTCATTTTGCAGCATTCCAATGTTGTCGGGCGATGCATGAATTGGGAAAGCTTGTTAATAGCATAGGCTATGTCTTGGCAAGTGAGGGAAAGATATTGTAGGCTGCTAACAATTGTTCTATATTCTGTGTAGTCAGTCAGAGCTGTACCAGAATGAAGTGTGAAATTTCCATCGGTAGCAAATGGTGTAGCAACAGGTTTTGCACCAAACATTTTTGTCCGGACAAGAAGATCAGTGATGTAGCGCTTTTGAGTAAGTAATAGACCAGATGGAGTGGTGAGAACCTCAATGCCAAGAAAATAAGACAATGCACCAAGATCCTTGATTGAAAATCTTTGTGCCAGAAGGTCAATGTACCGCTGAATAATGTTGTTGTTGGTACCTGTGATGATAATGTCATCCACAAAAATAAGTAGATATGTAGTAGTGTCACCTGAGTGGAGTATGAATAGAGAGGTGTCTGCATGAGAGTTTGTGAACCGAGACTCAATGAGGAATTGGCGAAGTTCAAGGTACCAAGCCCGTGGGGCCTGCTTGAGTCCATATATAGCCTTCTTTAATTTGCATACATGTGTTGGATTGTCTCGATCAACAAATCCTGGAGGCTAGGCCATATAGACATCTTCAGAAAGATGGCCTTGAAGAAAGGCATTATTAACATCCAATTGTCGCAACTGCCAACCTCTACTGACTGCCAAGCTTAGAACAAGACGTATTGTTGTTAGCTTGACAACTGGACTAAAGGTGCCATGATAATCCACTCCAGGTCGCTGATGAAAACCTTTGGCAACTAATCTGGCTTTGTACCTATCAATAGAACCTTCAGCAAGCCGTTTAATTTGAAAAACCTACTTACAACCAACAAGATTCTGCAAAGAAGTAGATGGAACAAGCTCCCAGGTTCCATTCCGAACAAGAGCATCAAATTCATCATTCATAGCTTGTCTCCATTTGGGATCTTTTAGGGCTTGGTTAACAGTATTAGGCTCAATATCGCATGGTTAAGGAAGGACAGCAGTGAGAGTCATCTCGGTTAGGGGTTTGTGGATGTTGTTTTTCGCTCTAGTGGTCATGGGATTGGTATTTTGATGGGTGGTTTGAGCTATGGTTGAAGTAGAAGAGTCTCAGAATTATGTGGTTCTAGTGAAAAATGGTCAACCGTGGTTTCTTGGCGGTCAACCAAACTGTGTCTGAGTAAAGGGAGGTCTATGGACAGAGGTCGACGATCGACTAGTGAGGAGAGTTGGTCGACTGTTTGGGCATTTTGTGATGGATGTTGACACGAGGAATCCTTTTGTGGAGGCGTATTGAGTGAGCCACTTGAAAAATGTAGAATTTGGACCGGGGGAAGCCATTTGGAAATGATCTCTGGGGTGGGACGAGAAAGATGGGATTGGTGGGTGGTAAAGGGAAAAGAGTTTTCAAGAAATTTAACACGACGAGAAATATATATTTTAGAAGTGGACAGATCAAGACAGATATATGCACTTTGTGTTGAAGAGTAACCAAGAAAAACACAAGAAGTGGAACGAGAGTCAAGTTTATGTTGAGAATAAGGACGAAGCCACGGATAACATAAGCAACCAAACACCCGAAGTTTAGTGTAGTTGGATTGAGACTCAAATAGTTTTTCAAAAGGAGATGAAAGATTTAGTGTGGGTGTGGGCATACGGTTGATGAGATAAACAGCAGTAGCAAAGGCATAAGTCCAATAAGTTAGAGGCATCGATGCATGAGTGAGAAGAGATAAACCTGTTTCAACAATATGGTGATGACATCGTTCGGAAAGACCATTGTGTTCGGGTGTATGAGGTGGTGTAATAAGATGGGATATACCATTGGTAGAGAGAAAATGATCAAGGACTCGATATTCACCACCATTATCTAAATATAGGATAACAATTCGGTGTTTAATTTGGTTTTCGACTAATGCCTTGAAGCATACAAAGACATCATACACATGGGATTTCCGTTTAAGTGGATAATACCAAACGTACTTAGTATAATGATCAACAAAGATAACTTAATATTGAAAACCATCAACAGAATAGACAGGAGAGGTCCATACATCAGAAAATATAAGTTCAAGCGGATGGAATGAGGTTAAGGTAGAAGAAGAAAAAGAAAGTTTGTGACTTTTATTACATGAACAAGCATTACAATTTGTGAAAGAGGATAACGGACTAGACAATGGTAAAGAAAACTTGGAAACAATATTTTTCATAATAGTAAATGATGGATGACCTAGTCTAGAGTGCCAGTCAAACAAAGTGGTCTTGACACTGGAAAAGGCAAGCAATGGTGAGGAGGTAACTGAAGGGGATGTGGTCGGCCACTCATATATGCCATCCTTAGGTTCGCCCATCAAAAGGATTGCCCCCGTGTTTAGATCCTTCACCTGAAAAGCAGAAGGTGAGAATTCAACAGAAACATGGTTATTAGTGCAAAATTGATAAATCGAAAGTAAGTTCTTTTTCATGGAAAGGACACAAAGGACGTTTTGTAAAGTAAAGGTGAAAGAGGAAGTAGGTATGGTGGTAGAACCAGTATGGGTGATGTGAAGGGTCGATCCATCACCGATCATGACATCATCAGATCCCTGATACGGGCTATGAAGAGAGAGATTGCTCAGGTCAGATGTAACATGGTGAGATGCTCCACTATCTAGCAGCCAAGTAGGAGTAGTGCTGTTGCCAAGGACAGCATGATTGGCTCATGTTTTCTAGGGTGTGGAGGGGCGATATCCATGAGAGCCTTGAGGACGAAGTGCCGGGGATTGTTGATTAGTGACAAGCCGAAACATTGGGCATCGTTTAGCAGTGTGTCCTTGAATGCCGCATGCTTGACAATGACCCAAATAAGGTTTGGGTTGACATTGATCATGAGGAGAAACCATAGTGGTAGGGCCTGATTGTTGTGGATTGGCGACTGGTGGACGCCAATGTGGAAGATTCCGAAAGGCTGTGGGATTTACCGTTGCAGGTAATGATAGAGAGATGGTTGAGCGATCTGAAGAGATGCTTCCTTGTTGAGAAGTTTCTCATGGAGTTCAGCAAAAGAAATTGATGTGTCACGGGCATTAATTGCATCAATAACAGATTTGTACTCATCACTAAGTCCTTCAAGAACTTGATCAATAAGATCCTCATCATCAACTGGCTTCCCTAGAAGAGCGAGTTCATCGGCACGAGTCTTTATCGCCTGCATATATTCACTAATTGATTTTGAGCCTTTGTTACACCACTTTAATTGTTCCTTCAATTGTTTAATATGACCACGGGATGGTTTGGCGTAGGTATGGGCTAAGGTTTGCCATGCATCAAGGGAAGTGGTAGTGTGAGCAGTAAGCGGTTGCAGTGAAACGGAGATAGCACAAGGAGAGCGCTAAAGATGAGACGATCTTGACGCTTCCAATTTGTGTATGCTGGATTTGGGGATGCAACACCATTGGTAGTGACAATGGGTGGTGGTGGAGTGTGAGTGCCATCAATGAAGTGATGAAGATCATAACCTTCAAGAAGTGATTTGATTTGAAGGCTCCATGTGAAAAAATTGGTGGATGACAATTTGGTGATATTGGAGAAATTGATTGTAAAGAGGGGATGGTGAAGATCCTGGGAGTTTTGGATGGTGATAGGGTCGTTGGTGGAAGAGGAGATCGCTTCAGAAGCCATTGAAGAAATAATTTTTTTTTTTCGTGGTTGTCTGGAAAAAAAATAAGCCCAAAGAGATTAGGCTCTTGATACCATGTTGAAATATAGAGAGGAATATTGAGAAACAATGGCTTAACTTTTCCATTGATTGAGAATGAATATATATACAAAAATTTGGGCATTGCCTTGAATTACCCAAAATACAAAAGTGGAAACTATCCTAGAATATAGAGATTAGAACTAATTACAGGGATAAACGGTCTAGAATTAGGGAATTACAAAAGATGGGAATTAGAACTAATTACAGGGAAAACTGTCTAGAATTAGGGGATTACAACTAATTACAAGAATTTAAAACGTGCTGAAAATCTGTTGTAGTTAATTCTCTAATATTCTTTACCACTTCCTTCATTTTTGGGTTTAGTCTACGTTGTGGGTCTCTCCTAGGATTAGCTCCTTCCTTTAGATGAATCATATGGGAACAAATGAAAGGACTAATACCTTTTATGTCGGCTATGGTCTACCCTAATGCAGATTTGTGTTCATTCAGAATGTTTAAAAGTTGTTACATTGTAATGCATCTAATTCTGATGAAATAATGACAGAAAAGGTATCACCTGGTCTAAGGAACACATGTTTTAGTCCTGTAGGAAGTTGTTTCAATTCTGGCCTAGGGCTTTTAATGCTTGATGGTTTCTGTCCTCCAGTCATTTCTGGCCATTACTCAAACTTGGGTTGCCATGGTGAAGTCCTTTGGTCCTGCAATTTTGCAAAAATAGTACAAATGTTAGTATACTCATCAACATCAAAACCACATGAAATTTAAGAATTTAGGATAAAAGAGTTCAAAGGTTCAGAATCAATTGTTGTAAATGCTTCCTACTGAGTGAATACATCAATCATGTAGGTTTGATGGCATTCATCATCTTCTGTAGGTTGTTTGGTGACATGAAAAATATTGACTTCTAGAGTCATATTTCCAAATGTCAGCTTCATCAGACTATTCCTGCAATTGATAAGAGCGTTAACTGTAGCAAGGAAAGGTCTACCAAGTATAATAGGAATTTTAAAGTTAACATCCACCTTCACATCTAATACCAAGAAATCAATGGGATAGTAAAATTTATCAACCTGAACTAACACATCCTCAACTACTCCCCTTGGTCATATGGTGGACCGGTCAGCTAATTGTAGAACCACTGAGGTGAGTTTCATTTCTCCTAGACCCAACAAAAGTATATAGCATAGGGCATGAGGTTAACACTAGCTCCTAAATCAAGAAGGGTTGTGCAAACTCACGATTCTCAATGACACAAGAAATGGTAAGACAACCAGGGTCCTTATACTTTGGTAGGATCCTTTGTTCTATCACAACACTCACTTGCTCGGTCAAGAGGACGGTTTTTTTATATGATGTTTCCTTTTTACAGTGCATAAGTCCTTAAGGAATTTAACATATGTAGAAACTTGAGAGATCGCATGCAAGAGAGGCAAATTGATTTTGACTTGTCTGAGGTGTTCTAGGATTTCATTATGCTGACCTGTTGATTTCGAAGTGGACTTGAGAGCTTGAGAGAAAGGTATTCTAGCTGGGTTTTCCACTACATTTTCACTAGGACTGTTCCCATCAGGCTCACTTGGCTCTTTTTGGTTCTCTCTAGGTGGAGGGGTTAGTTCTACAACTTTCCCTGATCTAGTGGTTACAGCATTCGCCTCCTCAAAATGGGTCTCTTCGGATCCTGAGATTTGTGCCATGTGCTGCCCTTTTAGGTTTGGTTGAGCTTGAGCTGGAAACTTCCCACGTTCCCTACAGCTAAGGCATTAGTTAATTTAGACATATGATTATTTATCTCTTTGTTTTCCTCGACTACTTGGGTAATCATAGTCTCAAATTTTTTATTTGTTTTGCCTTGTACCTAGATGAATGCATGTAGGGTGTCTTCTAAGGAATTCCTAGAGGACATGGGTTGATGTGGGGGTGCATTGTAAGCTCGAGTTTGTTAGGCATGTTGTTGGTTCTCAGACTTCCAGCTAAAGTTGGGATGATTCCGCCACCTTAGGTTTTAAGTCTCGGAGTAAGGGGTGTAGGGCTTTTGATATATACCTAAAGCATTACAGTGTTCCTCATAAAGTCCCCTTATCTCAGCATAAGTAGCACACTCTTGCCACCACACACAAAATAAAACCCTTCAGACGTAACACGGGAAACAACATGTGTAGGTTTTGAATCCTTAGCACGTAGGGATTCTAATTCTCTAGTGAGGCTTTCTACCTTGGCTCTAAGGTTGTCTTCCTCCCTAAGGTAATAAATGTTTGTGCTAGTAGAGTTTCCCTGAGGTCGTGACCTATTAGTTCTATCGGATGCATTAGGTCCAATCCAAGTATGAGCCTTTTCAGCTAAGTCGTTTAGATACTCTATGGCTTCATCTGGGTCTTTTTGTAAGAAGTCTCCATTACACTTCATTTTTACAAATTGACGCTCCCTAGGTAATAATCTCTCATAGAAATAACTCACAATGCGCCAACTTTCATAACCATGATGGGGGTAGAGGGTTTGCAATTCTTTGTACTTTTCTCACGCTTGATATAAAGTTTCACTCTCCTTTTGAGTAAAAAAAGATATTTACTTTTTCAATGCGGTTGTTTTGTCGTGGGAAAAGTACTTGCCAAAGAATGCTTGAGTCATTTCAGCCCAAGTCCCAATCGAGCGTGGTCTTAATGAATATAACCAGCTTTTTGCTCTTTCTTTAAGAGAGAATGGGAAAAATCTAAGCCTCACTACATCCATTGTACCACGTTGATTGTGAAAAGTGGCAACAACCTCATCAAATTCCCTAATATAAACATATGGGTTTTCATTTTCAAGACCGTGAAAAGTGGGAAGAAGTTGGATCATTCCCAATTTAGATCCATACGTGCCATATTAGGTAGAAATATGATGCATGACGGTATAGATGTGCGTGTGGGATGGAGATAATCGTGCAAAGTCCTAGTTGGTATCTCTTCATGTTCACTATCAGTCATGGTGTTATGTGATGTGTGTGCCAACAGATTCAATATCGAAAAGAGGTTTAGAAAGTGATTCAAACACTGGTTGAAGCCTCGCAATGAATCTCCCTCGCTCGTCTCGAAGCCTGTTTATAAAATACAAAAAAAATGAAACTAAATGAGAAATAACAAATAATTAAGAAAATAAACTAAACTAACTAAAAAAATGTAAAGAAAAGGAACAAAGTCACCCTTTTCCTCGAGAATCTTTCAAATATTTGTACCGTCTTCTCGGCAACGGCGCCAAAATTTGATTATGCCCAAATATTAACGTGGTGATTGTAGTACAACTTTGGGGTATCGTATTCACAGGGAGATGAAAAATTATTTAAAGGATCAAAAGCTTAGGGGTTTTGCCGTGATTTGTGTGAAATTACGATTGGAATAAATTGAAGTAAAAGTTTAATACCAATATATGAAATAGTGAAGTGGCGGAATTCCCTCGATTAGATTGGTTCAATCAATATCAATTTTTGCATGAAAATATTTTTCATCCCAACACTTTAATTGGAAAATTTAACCTTCAAACCTATTCAATTCCACAATAATTCCCCAAACCTAGATTTCTTTCATAATATAATTCCACAATAATTAGATCCAAAAGCGATTATATACATCAAGTATATAATGGTAAAGAATCACACCAATAGGAGATTTAAGATTGAAATTCAATAAGTACTTCAATTATTCGATGGAAAAAACGTGATTGAATCCATAAAAATTTAATACAAATTAAACCAACCTCAAAACATGTTCATAAGAATAAGAAATATAAATCTAGAATTGTTTAACAATGAAAGAACACATTTAAGAAAGAAAAGACATGAAAATTCCCAAATCTAATCGAGTTCCTTCGTGGCTTCACCAATAAGTTTAGTTCTCCATGGATTTCTTGAGCCAAAAACCAAAGGAAAGTGTTAGAGAATGAATGGTAGGCATTCTGGTCGAGATTAGGGTTTTAAAACGTGTGGAAACCGTGTTTCCATAAGTGGTTGAGTCGATTAAGGAAATTGAAATTTCAGCCTCGAGGAATAATCATGCGACCGCATGGTTATAAGTGTTGCGGTCACATGGTAGAAACATTTTGGCCTCTGGAATTCCCTGGAGGTGCTTGTGCGACTGCATGGCTTTATAACCATGCGGTCGTATGGTTATTGTCATTTTCTTCGTCGAATAACTTTTAGTATTTTAGTCATAACTTTTTTTCCCGATATCCGATTGAGGTGATTCAAGTTGAATTGGAAAGACGACTCAAAGGATACAACTTTGATTCAGACATCATCTTCTAGATCAGTCTTTTTCCATGTCAAAACTAGGTCTTAATATAAGGCTGAAAATCGATGCGTAACTTTTTCGATTAAGAATTGATTTGTGAATATGTTATGATCATATTTCACTTCCTTTGACTTCTAATTGTACCCAATTGACCCTTAGCATTCTTGAATCATCATTCCATCGCCCGTCTCATCTTTGAATTATTTGCAACTTGGTCCCTGAACTTTTGCTTTCTTCCAGTTTGGTCCCTTTTCGCTTGTTTCTTCTGAATTTCATTTGTTTCACCAAAACACAATCTAAACCAAAATATAGGAGTAATTATTGCATTTTGACATAGTATAATTGCATGAATGCATCAATTAAGAGGGGAAAATATCATATTTTTACACTCTTATCAGGGGTTCTTTATCTGTTAATCGTTTTTCTTAAGGCCAAAAGCTATACTTTTCTTGTTACTCACTTTAACTCGTTTTAATTTGCCTTAACTCATTACTTACTTTGGTTGATCTTTGTTTTTGTATTGCGTTCTGTCTAGTTGAGCTGACCCGGTCCAGTTCCTCGTGAGTTCTTGACTCACCACTGAGGTCACACTGAGTTTTGGTGACTCATTGGCTTCTTGAACCTGGATTGTGTTTCTTGATCCGGTTCTAACATTCCTTCATTATTTTCCTCATTCTCTAAAACATTAAGAATTTCAGACTCTGGTATCTTCTTAAACCCCATTTATTAAACTGTTATCGTAATCTATTTGGTTTCAATTATTAAGGTAAGCAATCTTCTACTACTTACCTTTGTCCAAGATCTCAAACGAGGATCTGGGAATCTGATAAAGTACTGGGCTGCAGGATTATCACTCCTTAAACCACTCTCAAACTAATTCGTATCTGCTATTTTGAATTGATTTGTGTATTGCAAGATAAGTAGATACAATTGTATATTCTGTCTTATTCATTCAGTCACACTTCATCAACTGCATAATATACCTGAATCAATATACTTTGTGTACTATATAATTACTGTTTTGTGTACGTATCTGTCATCGTGTCTACTACACATAAATTTAAAATTGAGACATGGAACGGTACTGGAGACCTTAGTCTCTGGCGCCAAAAATTGAGGGCATTATTGCTACAGCAAAGGTGTGCTGTAGTCATTGATGGTAATTGTGCTGTAGAAATTAGTACATATAGGAGGCAAGAACTAAGTGACACTACATGGAGTACAATCTTTTTGCACTTATCTGATAGTGTTATTAGGAAGGTTCGGGAAATTACATCTGCTGAAGCTCTCTGGACTAAGTTAACTGGAAGAAAACTTGACAGACTGATATTTTTATCACAATGTTGATCATCAGGAAGGTTTGGGAAGAAAATCTTTGTAAGTTTTGTGAATAAGCTCTCTGGCAAATTGTCATAAAAATATTTCTGATGATCAACAAGTTGTGGTATTTTGTTAAACTCACTAAGTATAGAGATATCATAAATGCTTTAGAATATGGGGGCAAGAACTTACTATTGATAAAACTACTTCAGCCCTGAGAAATAAAGAACTTGAAATAAAAGCCAAGTCAAAAGACTCTAAGTATGGTGAAGGGTTATATATAAAGGAGAAACAGAACCAAAATAAGAAACAATATCCCTATAATCAAAACTTATATAAGAAAGGGAAACTCCAATTCTCTAAATTTAAATAGACGAATAAAAATCAATGGAAAACCAAAAACTAGATCAGAAAATATTATTACTGTGGAAAAACTGGCCACAGAATAAAAGATTGTTTCAAGAATATCTATGATCTGAAAGATAAGACCATTTTTCAGGGGTCTGTAGCTGTTGCTTGCGAAAATGACTGACAACTACCACCAGAAGGGTCCCAAATGAGTGGGTCCTTGACTCTAGATGCACATTTCACATGTTCCCCACAATAGAATGATATACTGAATTTGTTGACCTCAATGGAAGACAAATCCAGATAGGAAATGACATGAGTTGTCAAGTTAAGGGAATTGGAAAGGTCAAACTTTTGTTAAACAACAATTCTACTCTTGAACTTGAAAACACTAGATATGTACCTAAGCTTAAAAGAAACCTTGTTTCCTTGAGTGAACTTGATGACAAATATAACATCATGATTTATAAAGTGCTTCTAACACTTAAGCAAGGAAATAAAACTGTGATATCCTCTCCTAAAATAAATTGCATATATATTGTGTCTGCTAAATTTGTGTCTAATCATTGCACTGCAGCCTTAAACTTTGATTCAAATAAGTCTTTAATTTGGTATAAAAGACTTGGACACATATCAAAAAAGCTACTATCAATTTTAAATAAGCTTGGATGTTTTAGAAGTGACAATGTTAAAGGTTTGGATTTTTGTGAAAACTGTATTTTTGGAAAATAGAAAAAAAACTACCCTCTAAAACTGGTACTCATAAATCTTCTTCCATTCTAGATTATTTACATCCTGATCTTTGGGGACCAATCTATGTAAATACTCTAAGTTGGTTTAGGTTTTATCTACTTATAGTAGACGATTTTTCAAGAAAAATCGGGACTTTTCTTCTAAACAAAAATCTAATACTTTTCAAACTTTTAAACAATGGAAATTAATGATTGAAAACCAATCAAATAAGAAAATCAAGACCTTGAGAACTGATAATGGACTTGAGTTTTGCAATACTGAGTTTAATTCTTTTTGTAAAGATTTTGGAATTTTGAGACATAAAACTGTAATGTACACACCTCAGCAAAATGGTGTTGCTGAGAGAATGAATAGATAATTATTGGAAAAGATAAGGTGTATGTTGTACAGTTCAGGTATTCCTAAGTTTTTTTGAGGAGAAACTCTAAAAACTGCAACTTATCTAATAAACAGAAGTCCATCAAGTGCCATTGATTTTCAAGTCCCTGAAAAATTATGGTCTAGAAAAATTCCTAATTATAGTCAACTAAAAGTTTTTTGCTGCACTGCCTATTCATATTAGAGTGAGGGAAACTTGAACCTAGATCCCTAAAATGTGTTTTTCTGGGCTATGGTGAGGAACCAAAAGGTTACAGATTGTGGGTTAGAAGCCAAAATAGTTTTAAAGTCATTGTTAGTAGAAATGTCATCTTTAATGAAAATGACATGCCTTGTGTAGAG